GCGCTTGATGTGCATGTTGACAAGGTGCCTACCTGTCTGTTACCCGCTATCACGTCCATACTGGCTCCACGAGACAGTTGGTCGTTGCTGGAGGGGACGGGGTGCACGGTCCTTGTAGCCGTGCTAGGATCAAAGAGTGGTTCCATGCACTCAGTGTGGAGCGGACTACGGTCCAGCCACCGCCTTGTGTGCGGTTGATTCCTCAAATACAATGTGCTTGTGTTTGCCTGTGAAGGAGTGTGGGCCGGCTCCGTTGATGAAACGTGGTTCCCATCCGCACGCCTCCCGGTCTTATTCCTTCGGGTTTACACTGGATATGGGGTGTGTGGGTGGTGCAGCGCAAGCCGTCCATGGTCCCTCTGTAGGCCCAGGCGTCCTGTGGCTTGCCACAGTGACAGGCAAATCCGAAACCGGATGCCGCCAACCATGTATGTATGTGTGCCCCATGCTGAGGCTGATGTTGCATTCTTGATGCTTCTTCACCGCAGTTGGGCTAAACCAACTTACACTTAAACTATGTGTCTTTAAGCTACATAAATATTATTTTAGTTTATTTGGTTAGTTTTGCCTATCTGAATAGTCTTCTATTAGCTGGCCATGTCGCTTACGCTAACTGCGATTATCCTCCGTAATTTGGTTGCGTTTGTAGCATTTCTGTGTATCTTGTGGACATTTTTCCTTATCGCGGATTCATTGCTAACCAACTTACTTCATATGCTAATTTAGCGAAGCGTTATGCCGCCGTATCTGTATGCACCCTTGGATTTATGTTATTTCATTTTGTCGTTTCAAGTGATTGGCTGTTGCGTGCTATCCGCGGTGTGGCTGCGCTTGATGTGCATGTTGACAAGGTGCCTACCTGTCTGTTACCCGCTATCACGTCCATACTGGCTCCACGAGACAGTTGGTCGTTGCTGGAGGGGACGGGGTGCACGGTTCTTGTAGCCGTGCTAGGATCAAAGAGTGATTCCATGTACTCAGTGTGGAGCGGACTACGGTCCAGCCACCGCCTTGTGTGCGGTTGATTCCTCAAATACAATGTGCTTGTGTTTGCCTGTGAAGGAGTGTGGGCCGGCTCCGTTGATGAAAAGTGGCTCCCATCCGCATGCCTTCCGGTCTTATTCCTTCGGGTTTACACTGCATATGGGGTATGTGGTTGAAGCTGTGGGTGGTGCAGCGCAAGCCAACTAGGGTCACTCTGTAGGCGCAGGCGTCCTGTGGCTGGCCACAATGGCAGGCGAATCGGAAACTGGATACCGCGAACTATATATATATATATATATATATATATATATATATATATATATATATATATGTATGTATAAATATATACGGGAGAGTCTATGGTGCTCTAAGACTAGTAGTGGCTGTAACCTGACAGATGGTCTACCCACTGCTGCTACTTTTGTGATATAAGCTGACGTCCAAGACGCCTCATAGTGCCTACCGCTCTGTGGGAAGTGGTTAACTCCCTTCTCCCTGCTAAGATCCAGGACACCAATCCGCAGGAGCCAATGAACCGACTAGGTGCTAGACTCGCAGCATCTCGGGTGTACATTTAATGGAAAGCTTTGGCTGAAGACCCGAGTCGTTCTGCTCTTAGGTGTGGGCGCCCTGCCAGTATCCTAGTCCATCCACTTCGGAGGTTAGGAAGTGTTCGATGGCTCTCTTCCCGTAAAATCTGGCCATAGGAGACAATAATTCTACGGGTTAGGCGCTCACCGCTCGATTGTTGCATAGAGGAGCGCCTCGCCTCGTCTTGGTTTATGGTAGGGCAGTGTACCAAGACGAGGTGGGCCTTCGTCTGCTAAGCGTTTCCCCTGCAAAAAGCCACAAATATCTGTTTAACAACACTGCGACGTGGCGGATGTGACTCGCCACTCAATAAAGTCACGGCCCCTAACACTTTGGCAAGTTGACCGATGCCACATTTACAAATTTTGTGCATATATCTGTTCACGCACGAACATGCCTACATATTTGATCAGTGACATGCTACTATTCTTAAATATTTTTTCAGCGTTTTCCTCATTCTTCACTCACCTGACCCGCACTGTGTACACAACTTACTCGGACTAGTTCCCCATCAACATGCTCCACATTAGTGGTCTGATTCTTATCTCTACATCACGCATTCTGTGGACATTGACTTCGTACACCCTTTAGACCATATGGGCCTACACTACTGTCTCTAACTGTACTACGCTCGCGCCTGGTGCTGTCAATCATGCTATCATGTACAATATTGCAATATGCTGATCATGCCCAAAAGGCATGCCTCGCTTTGTCGAGAATAAAAAAATTTATTTACTTATTTATTCTGGTGCTCACTGGTTTGCTACTGCTGGTCTCTAGTCAGATAGTCGTTGGTCCAATTGGTGCGAAGCCGGCAAAACTCACCTGCATCTGGCCGTGGTCGCAGGTGTGTATCCTACCACGGTCGGAAAACATATATGAATCGTTCTAGTTCTTCAAAGGCATCGTGTGACGGCCGTCATGCTGATCTCAGTCTGTCTTTGCAATCACATTCCCGAGCTGGCTCTGCTCCCCACTGCCTTGTAGGCCTGGCTATTGAGCCACAGCCTCCGAGCGGTCTCCATCAAGCAAACCTCCACACCACCCACTACCTTGTGGGTCAGGCTATTAAGCCAAGGGCTTGGGGAGGAGTCACGCAAGCTAACCTCCAAAGCATAACCGATACCTCGCGCGCAAGTGCCCAACAAATCAATCGTATGCGTGCGCGCAAAGCAAGCAGCATCGGGTGTTGGAATGTGCGCAAACTACTGGACCGGAACTCGTGTGTGCGCCTCGAGCGACGCACTGCACTGGTCGCGATGAAACTGGCGCGCTACAACATCGATATTGCGGCGCTCAGTGAGACTCGGCTAGCTGAGCAAGGTAAGTTGCATGAAGCAGGTGCTTACTAGACGTTCTACTGGGTGGGCAACACCACCTCAGCGTCACGTCTACCTGGGGTCGGATCTACAATATCTAATCGCCTAAATGACCACCTGGTGGGTAAACCAACAGACATCAGCTACGACTGATGACTGCTCGCCTACGACTCAGGAAGGGTAACTGCCAATTTTATTAGCCCCGACGGTCCGACCATGTGTTTCCTGATGACACGCGTGCTCAATCCTACACTTAGGTATCCTCCGCGATACGGTGTATGCCGAGGAGCGACCGACTATTTCTGCTGGGTGATTTCAACGCGCGCGTTAGGCGTGATGCGTCGGTGTGGACAGACGTTATCGGACCGCAAGGCATTGGTTCCGCGGATGCGAATTGTGACAGGCTGCTCTCACTGTGTGCAACTCATGGCCTGACGAGAACGAAGCTTGGTTTGGCACTGAGTGCAAGTGATATAGCTACTTGGACACATGTACGGACCAGTCACGATTACCTGCTGGCCTATGTCATCGTACGTCAGCGTGATTTGTTCGAAGTGCGCATGGCACGTGCACTTGTTTGATGTTGAGTGTGGCAATGATCACAAGTTTGTGCGTACCAAACTGCACATGTGTTTTCGTAAATCTATGTATTGCACTCTCGCCGTGAATCGGCGAAAATTTAACATTCGCTCCCTCGGTACTGTGTGGAAACGTATTGAACTGGCGAAGCCGATGGCCGCACGACTGCGTGATATGAAATGCATAGCCGTGGTGGAAGGCTTGCGACACCATATTCGCGACCAGGTGGCAGCTGCTGCCGAGGATACCTTCGGGTGCGCAAACTGTAAGCGGCCTGCTTGGTTTGATGAGAACAATGCGACGATTGGCGCATTGGTGGGGAGAAGAATGCAGCATTTGCTGCGCATGCGGCAGACCCCAGTGACTTGGAGATGAAGAGTAACTTTTCCATAATTGGAAGACGACTGCCCTCAGAGAGCTCCGCCGCATTAGAAATGCATAGTGGACTGAGAAGGTGTAGCAGATGGAAGGCTAGGCTGAACGTTGCCAACACAAGGAATCCATTTTCTCCTTGAATACGGTGTATGGACCGAGGTTGGAGTCCCCGAGGACGCTGATCGAGGGTAGCTCAGACGCTACCTACACACAGAATGCAGACATACTGCAGATTTGGCAAAAGCACTTCGCTTGTCTCTTAAACAACCGTTCAGTGATCGACTGGCCTACGTTACACAACTTAATGCAGCACGAGTTGAAGGCGTCCGGCGGACACGCTGACACTGGTTGAGACGCAGACAGCACTTGCTCAGCTTCGTAAAGGCAACTGTGCTGCAACCGACGCGATCCTGCCTGAAGTATTAAAACACGGCGGAACCGCGCTAGTAAATGCGCTGCACCACTTGTTGCAACACGTGTAGGATGAAGAGGAGATGCTTCCTGAGCTGAAGGATGCCCTTGTGCTACCACTCTATCTGGGCAAGGAGAGCAAGCAACGTTGTACGAATTATCGTGGCAGCAAGTTGCTTAGTTGTGTTCGCAAGCTGATTGCCCGAAGCCTCTCAACCGCTTCGTCAATCAGGTTATGGAACCTAACGTGGCGGAATAGTAGTGTGGATTTCGTTCGGGTAGAAGCAAAATAGGTACGATGTTTGCGCCTGGTCCGTTGCAGGAGAAGTGAAGCTAACAACACCACTTTTACTAATCTATTATCACAACCTTCCAAATCACTTATCCCTTTATTACTAAATTTATAATAATTTACCTAAATTAATTCCTCTACCATAATACCCCTACATAATCATAATCCCTTACATTTTTTATTTATACTCTTCTATCCTCTCCCTCTTCATCTAACCTAAAATCATTAAACCCCCCTTATTAATACCTAATATCTCAACCCCAAAACAAAATCCCATCTTCCAAATCCCTACATCACCTCAAATATAAACAGCTATAACAAATCCTTATCCAAATCCCATACCACTAAACTACACAATTCCAATATATAAATATCTCCCCCTCCCCTACCTAAACCAACTCATACACCTTTAACATCATCTTCAATAATAATCTCCTACTTCTAACAAATCACCAATCATAACCACTCATCCCACCTACCACAATATACCACCTTCCATTTACATACAACTCTTTCAATAACCACCTTAAAACCCCCCCCCAACCACCCCAAAAAAACACCCCCCCCCCCCAAACCACAAAAACCCCCCCAAAACCAAAAAAAAACCCCCCCCCCCCCCCCCCCCCCCCCCCCCCAAACCCCCCCCCCCCCCCCCCCCCCCCCCCCCCCCCCCCCCCCCCCCCCCATAAATATTTCTCCCCTTTTTTATATACCCCCCCCCCCCCCTTCACGCGATTGAGCATTGGCGCTGAATGGTTGGCAACCGCCTCCTGCTTCTGCTACCTTGACATCGTAAGGTCCAGTGACGAGCAGATAGGCAGTGAGCTTCGATACGCTTTTCGAAGGCAGTTGCGGCATTCGGGAAGCTACAGTACCGAAGGTGGAATAACCATCAGCTTATCGTTGACACGACGTTGGTGGTGTGTAAATGCAGGGTACAGTCCGTTCTTTCTGTGACAACGAAACGGGGACGATTTACCGGCGGGATGCGCAATATCACGTGCGGTCCCATCAAAGGTGGATGCGATGATTGCTGCGCATCTGTTGGTGCAAAAGAGCTGCTGACACGGAAGCGTTACGTCAAGGCGTGTGAGTTTGACTCGGATACCGAAACAGCTATTATATTCTCAGCTGCGTGTGAGGAAGCAGCATGTGGGAAACCTGAAGCTTCGTTACCAGTACATGAGCAAAGCGAGTCTCGCATGTTCAAATCTTGATTGTAGGTCATGGGAATAGAAGGGGTTTGATCGACGTACATGGCGCGACCTGATCACAAAGGCAGTTGCCGGGGTGCAAGAGGAAGCCAGTGTGCATGCAGAAGAAGCAGCAAGTGTGGAAGCGGCAGGCGTCGATGGGTTGTACTGCATCGACATCGGGCGCATGGTGCTGTAGCACATGCGGTCGCAAGCGCCTGCGTCAGGCAGACCTACTGAGCCACGAATGAGGCTAATCGGGACCAACAACGAAACGACGATCGGTCCTGCAGGGAACGTAGACAGAACCGGCGCAGCGTTTGTAGGTACGGTGCATTCGATTTACTAGCCGCCTGCTTGCGTGCAGAGTAACTTTATTTAAGTTGGTGGGTTTGCTACATTTTCTTAATGTTTATTCTGTTACCAAATTTCAATGTCTGCCTAAATAATCTGTTAAACTGCAGCAATTGCTTGGACGAAAGTTTTTTCTTCGGTTAGGTTCTTTATTCCACAGTCGTCTTTTGCTTTCTTCATCTGCTATTTTCAATTTTCGCAGGTTGTGGAAATTCTACGTATAGCTTGTGCCAATTTAGCCGTACATCCTTATGTTGTATTCGACCTATTATATTGGTTAGTTCGTTTCATGTGCTCGGCTGTTGCTTGACACCCTGGTGTGGCTGTGCTTGGTGTGCATGTTAGCAAGGTGCCTACCTGTCTATTATTTACCACCTCGTCTATACGGGCTCCAGGAAACGGTCGGTAGTTGCTGGAGGGGACGGTGTGCAACATCCTCGCGGCCATGCTAGGTTTGAAAGTGGCTACATCCAACTTGAAGTGCACTATGTTTTAGCTGCTGTTTGTGCGCCAGTGATTCCCTAACTAAGGTATGTTTGTGTTTGTCTGTGAAAGATCGTGGGCAGGCCTGCTATTGAAACGTGGCTCCTATCCACAGGCCACCCCTTCTTGTTCCTTCGGGTTTAAACTGGATATGGGGTACATGGTTATAGCCGTGGGTGGTGCATGCACAGGCGTCCTGGGACTGTCATGTGAAGGCCACACTGAAAGACAAATCCGTTGCCGGATGCTGCAAACCATATGCAAATCTTTAGCAAGGCGTCATGTCACCGGGGTGTAACCAAGAAATATCATGTTGAAATATTTTTGGAGCGAGGAAAAGGTCGAACTAGTTGTTCAAGCTCTGGTGTTCAGCGACTTGTGAACACGGTACTGCTAATACAGTAGCTAAGCTGTACCCGGTAACGAGGTCCGTTTTGTCTCCCTCTCAGCCGGGACCAGAACTCTCATATCTAGAGGGAATGGGGTAGCTGACCAAGGTGAACCGGCACATCCGGGAGTAACATAACAGCTTGGGATATAATTATGTAGTTAATACGTTTGTAAAGAATACAACTAAATGTCTAGCACATGCTTATAGACGGTGGTGTCCTCTAGCTTGTACAGCGGTGTGGGTTACTGTAGTTATGGTAGTAGGTACGCGGAGTTTCCGAAGTCACAAATGGGAGCAAAGTAGACGTATGCTACTGGATAAGTAAAAAGGGCGTTCTTTAGTCAGTAAAGAAAAAGTGCAGCTTGTAGATGTTGTATGAAGATAAATGTACAGAAAGTGACTGGGAAATGTAGGTTATGCTTACTACCCATTGTGTTCTATGTAAATTTGTTTTTGCTTAACTACTATGAGAAAACGTTAGGATGAAAGGTGAAGTCATTGGGAACATGGAAATGGCGTTGCAAATTATATGCAACCAAGGGGATGAACGGAAGTGGCACATTCAAGCATCACAAACTGAGATGTAAGCAAATATATTTCCTTAACGGACTTTATAAAAATGCATATGTGTAACGGAAAAGGAACGCTGAAGCATCAACTGCACGTAAGAATGCCCGGAAACACCAGGTTAAGTTATCTAAGTTTAGTGGAAAGTCGAAAATGATAACGGTGACCTGTCAATAGCTGGTGCTTTAATCTTCACAGGAGCGAAATTAAATTAAACAGCATGCGTAACCACCAGATGAAATATGCTTATATATATATATATATATATATATGCAGTGTCGTTAAAAGCTGTACAGTCATTTCTACATTTTGGTACATAAGGATGGAAATATCGATCTTTGGCTCAAGCCTGATATCCCCGCGGTGGCTGGCCTTGTTGGGTATGTTGACAAGCTTCTTACCTGACTACCTCTTCAATACTAGCTACTGGAGACTGTTGGTCATTGCTGGAGGGAACGCGGTGCACTGTCCTTGTGGCCGTGCTAGGCTCGAAGAATGTTTCCACGCACTTAGTACGGAGTGGACTGCGGTTCAGCCACCGCTTTGTGTGCGATTAGTTCCCAACTACAGCGTGTTTGTGTTTGCCTGTGAAGGAGTGTGAGCCGGCTCCGTTGATGAAACGTGGTTCCCATTCGCATGCTTCCTGGTCTTATTCCTTCGAGTTTACACTGGATACGGGTGGGTACTTGGAGTTGTGGGTGGTTCAACAAGCATCCCCGGTTACTCGGTAGGCCCAGGCGTCCTGGGGCTGTACTGTGGAGGCCACACTGAGAGGTACCTCCGATACCGGATGTCGTCGAACTTGTCAATCTTTAAAAATTTATCCCACGATAACAAATAAATAAGTGGGTCTACTTCTAGACTGGCTAGAGACTGCTCTCTTAAGGGATCCGATCAATATTTAATCCCATGCTCTTGCAGGGGAGTGGGAAAAATCTGAGTATAGGTTCCTCGTTGGCAATTACGAATGCATTGACCTTGCTTGGTGTTTAGCTGATGAAGTCATAAGCACCCACCTTGAACTTTTTATGGTTCCTTCAGGGGATATGAAGCAACTTGGTTTTCTTTGTTGTGAAAGCTGCGCAGAGCTGTGGTTGTGCAGGTTTAGGTTAGAAATAGGATCCACTTCACCACAACTTCGCTATAAATTCTTTGGACCATTTCCCCCGGCTTAGTTGTCACAATTATTGGTCCGTGCGTGGAAAGAAATAAGAACGGCCGAATTATAAGCAATAGCAAACGGTTAAAAAATAATTTCCAGAAAAGCAGATAAAAGTAAACGGGTTTGCTGAGAGACCAATTCTGCGCACTTCACTAGAAAAATATAAATTAACAAAAATTTTAAACAAAGTTTTCTTGCGCTGAATTTGCTTTCTGGCGCCAAATTTTAACATGAGTAAATCTCAGCTCAATGAAAAACCTTTTCTAAAGGTTAGAATCTTTCGTCAACTGGCACCATAATATACTGATTAGAACACCTGTTAACCTATGCTTACGCTAAAAGTTAAAGCAATGTAATGCGTGCAGTATTTTACGAGTTATTCGCAATTAAATGGCGGCTGAGAATAACGCCGTTATTTCTTTTCGCTAAAAATAGCTTTCTGCTTGCAAGCAGATATAAGAAAAATGAAAAGTAACTGTAAAATGTGGCGAAGCTGTATACGTTTCAAATAGGCATAGCTATCTAGAAAAGCTCTATCCAACCCATACTACCCCGCAACAGCTAGGTACGTCGTAGGTGGCCAAAAAGTAAGCATTTCGTGCATTCATAGCAAATGCAAGCAAATGAGCGATACTTTTGCACAAAATCAGTAGAAATCTAGTAAGGTAGGTTATATCTGCAAGGGACTTTAGGATAACTTATAATTAACCCAACGTCAGAAGGCTTCGGTGTACTATTTTCAGTGGATACTGAGCTACATGAACCACTAGGAATATAGAGTTTAGTATTTTTTAGGCCTCTAAGTGGTTCTGAAGTTTATATCAAGGCTGCGTGAGATAGGTCTACCTGAATAACTCCGGAGACATTTTGAGCTTTTGACACGTTTTGGCCTGAAGAATCCACACACGTCCTAGCTAAACAGTAAGTTTTATCTCTTAGAGCCGATTTTCTATATTCCTGAGGCTGTATCCAACACCAGTGAGCTAGTGGAGCCTGTTACTGATGATAAAGAAATGAGTACGGAGAAATTTAGCAAAACCTAGCGGAATGCTTCTGGGCGTGAAATCCATTTGGGTCTGCGCTGGTGGGGCATTGCCAACTCTACTTCTGGGGATAGAGCTTGCCCGAACATGATGGATTATTATGCCACATGTGTTGATGCACACTACTGTGCAGCTCCTTGACTAATTTCGAGCTTTTTCTCTCCTATGTTAAGTTCTGAAGCAAGGGCCAGCGGTGTTCAACCAGGTGGCAACGCATGGAGGAACCGGTAAATAAGCATACGCAGTCAGTCAGGTTTACCTCGCATATAAAATATCCTGATGCGTCTAAGCGTCAGACGACCGTAAATCGCGAGGTATGCAGAAGTATACGTGTACTTAGAGTCCGATCGTGAATAGAGCAGGCAGTGACGCGCACAATCAAAACAATCCAGTGGCAACCAAGGAAGAACCATGGAAGTCGAGCTCGAAACCAAGCGTATATATATAGTTAATTAAAACAAAGCTGTACAACAACTGCAGCGAAATAGGTAAACGTGAAAATGAAAAATAAGCAAATTATATGCAATCGCTGCAAAGGTTAACTAACTCT